TACCATGAAAAAAGTAGACTTACTCAAAACTTAAAGTAAGTTAAGTTTAAAGAATAAATTTGAAATTTTGTCCAATTCTGGTATAATTTTAGTAAATAGAAAAGTTCATAAACTTGAAACTCTTGTTGGATTAATCCCAAATCTATATTGTGGGCTTTTCTTTCAGTGATCAATATAATTTTAGAAAATTATTTGTCAAGGGCTCTATTAAATATCATCTCACTATACTGTTATTTTTTCAAGAAAATAGCCCATGCTATTGATATTTCATAATAGGGCCCATTTGTGTTGAATATTTTAACATAGTCCTATTTTAGTATATATTTGCAGAAGGAATATATAAATAAATGAACACATACATGCATGAATGAGTGAATGAATGAATGAGATTTTCTTTGTATTTAGAATTCAACTTGCAAATGTTGGTGCAAATATATTAGACTTTTCCTGCTGATGTGGTCTATCTTGAGTGTCTAGGACTTCCATCTGAGGCCCTCAAAGTTTTGTTTTGGACTTCAAACTGTAAAAATAATAAAATTTGTATGGGTACATTTCAGATCAATCAATAAAACACAGCTCACATGTGAGATTTATTTAAACTGTTGATCTTTAATTCCATGTGCTTTAGTCAGTATTACATTGACTATTACAAATCTTCTCCTTCTTTATTCCATTTAGAATAGTTTTCAAGATCACAATAGGGAACATTAAGAATAAACTTCTCTGAAAACCTATAGTATATTGGCAATTTCACTCAAGTTCTCAACTTGGACTTAGCTGGTTATAAAATAGCTTTTGCTTATAGTTATGTATTTTGGAGCTGCTGAGTTTAAATTCAAAACCAGTTCTATATTATACTACATCAATCAATAAATAAAAATGGGCTTTCACAATATTGGAGTAAACTTACTGACTTGAGGGAGAAGGAAAAAAATCAATGAAAGTAAGGCTAACAGTGGCTAGCTGTACTACTGTACTAGAAACTCCCTTTTTCAAGAAATAATTTTGCTCAAAAGTACTGGCAAATAGCAGTTAAGAACTCCTCATAGTCTGTTATGTTAACAACAAAGTTTGGGAATTTCAAATGGATACATTAGCAGTTCATGGAAGAAAGTGATCAGTCTAAAATCTCTTTATCTCTTAAGAAAGTCAAATTTTTAAATGACTCAAAAACATTTAATTTCAAGAAATAGCATTCATCTTTAATACTTCAGTAAGTGAGTAAGCTAATGTTTTAAAAATTCATCTCAACCTGACAATGGTAAGGAGCAAATAGGAAAAATACGATACATAACAGGAGTTCAATTCAAGCAGTGTTACTGCATGGAAAGAGAGGTGGTCTTTTTGTTACAACACAAGAGCTCAAAACTATACATGGCTTGAAAAAAATCACAAAGCAAAAAACTAGAAAGATTTAAGAAATAATAAATATGGAATGATGTAGACTAAGGAGATAGTAACAAAAATAATATCTGATAATTTTTAAGGACATTTTCCAATAGCCAGAAATGGATGAACATGTATGACCCATCTCTGTGATACTAGAGAAAGACTGATAGAGTCTCTCTCCTCTCACTGAGAATTCTTATAAATTCGACAATGAGCCAGGGACTTAGCAAAGTGGCACCTTGCCTGCCTCACAAGAGCAAGGTCCTGAGTTCGATCCCTGATACCAAGAAAAAAATATATATTCAGCAATGAAGTAGCAGAAGCATATGTGTAAACAAATACACAAATAAGTGCGCAAGAAGGAAGAGAGGTGAAGACAATGTCTCAAACATAAATGTTTTTCAGATACTACAATCTGTGGAGAACTCTAATCTTCCTCTGGCAATGTGACAGTAGGGCCCCAGCTAATCACTTGATAGAAGAGTTTTGTTAGTAGAAATTTTTGTTCATATGTATTTGGGTTCTACATAGCATCATAATCAATTAACTTCTTAGTTATTATAAATACAAAAACTATTTTACTATTTTTGCCTACATTTGTTATTCTATTAATTTATTTGTAGCAGTTATGTTTCTCCTAGAAGTCCACAGCTGACAAGTGTGAGCAAGTGCTTCTTAGGAAGAGATGAACTCCTGGAAATCACTTGTGAAACTTTCACAAAATGCAAACTTCCAACACATCAATTACAACCATCAAACAGACACCTAGAATCAAATAAATTGAAATGAAGTGCATGTGTGTGTCTTTTAGTTGCTACCACTGCGATTTCTATGTGAGTCCTGAATTACGCCTTAAAACATGATTGTTATTTGCATAGCTTTTGAGCATTTCAATTTTTTATAATAAATATTATATATTATAATAAATAATATCTTTTAAGGGATTGTTTGAGTTAAAAAGTAGTGTCTGTTTGTAATTTTTTAGAGATTTTATTTATTTTTAAAATATTATATATGCTTTATTGGTGCTAAAATAACCTTGTGTGTCATATTGACCAGCTGCCATGTCATAAACGTAGGAACACAGTCTAACTCAAGTTTGCCTAACCAAATTTGCAGAAGCTACAAAAAGATCTTAGACTAATTACTACTGAGAATGACTCAAATGACTACAGCTGGAGAAAAAATTCACACTCCCCTACACACATGAGTGTGGCATTATAGCTGGAACTTAGCTGAATAAATATAAGCATTTTGAAAGCACACATTTAGAGAGAGGGAAGAAAATCTATTCATGAGACTAACTCCACTGTAAGAATAAGAGATTTACTAGTAATGTGTTTTGAAATTTACTTTTTTTCCACATTGGTTAATTGCTGACAAGACAATGTAATAGCATTGTTCATAATTTACTTCTACATGACAGATGTAACGTATTAACCAGTACTTCACATTCTCTCTGATAGCTATGACATTGAATTATTTGCTGTATTTTTAGGCTTACCAAGAAAAAGTCGTGCTATTCCTTTGATTGTAAGCTATTTTCAGCACGTTTCATTTATGTGATTTAATTCAATAACATGCAAAGAGATGATGCTTGGTGTAGAGAAAATAGATTCATTTTGCTCTCTATACACTAAGCATGATATTTTGGAGATACTTCCTTAAGGGAAATCATTAAAAAGAAATTGCTATCAAATTGGTTTTAACATGAGCTTTAAAGATTCAGGGATATACTGAGAGGAAAGTAAATTATATAGAAGAATTCTATATCAGAATAATTTTTCAGTTGTCTTTAATTTCTATCTGCTTTTTAAAATGTAGGATACTGAAAGTAGATATATTCTGGGAATAGTACTCACCCAAAAGCTTTAATTAGATAATTATCATTGATTCATTTATCTTAACTTAAAATATAAATTGTATATGTATTATCTTCTTTCCTTACCCAATGAATTTTTTCAATTATTTCACCAAACATGCATCAAATCAGAGAAGTTGGGTTCTATGTTCCTGTTTTTCTTTTCTGTGCCACTTTGAGTTTCTAAGGGCATCAAATCAAATGCTGTACTACATAGCTGGGTGTATTTCAAGGTAAAGAAATGGCACGTGAAAAACATCCTTGACTGTTATCCTCTCAAGATCATCACCATCATCCTCTAAGTCACTGATTTTCTGGAGACAATTTGAGGATTCTTTGATTGATGTGTTATACTGATTATCTCACTCATTCCAGAAAGCACAGTAGAAGACACAGGAAGAGCAAGTCTGCTCCCAGGAGTGGTTAAAGAAATTCTCTCATCCCAAACTCATTTTTCCCTTAAAATGGAGCAATGCTGCAATTTGACATTATGCTATAAGGAACTAGAAGACAAGACAAAACAAAATGTCTCTTAGGGTACATGACATCTAAGTTTAGCATTCTCTTTTTCACCCCAGAGGGAATTACAAATTTGGCAGCTCATATTCCATGACACAGGTAGTGTATATTTCACAGTGAAGTTTAAACTTCAGTAGGATTGAGTACAGCTAGTTGAAGGAATTGATGAATACTACAAATACTCCGATATTGGAAATGAGAGACTACCAAATGTTTACATTACAAACATGCTAGCAACAGAACTGAAACCACTTGGAGACTGCCTTAATATAGTCCAGGCTTACCCTTTGCTCTCCTTAAAGACAATTTCAGGGTAAATATTTGTCATTTTATGCTACTGGATAATTTGAAAAAAATATCACTCAAAAAGTTTAATCAATACTACCTTTATCCTTTTAATCACAAACCTTAGTAGAAAGCTGAATCGCTATTTTATATTTTCCTTATCTTGCTTTAATTAAAATATCTTATGTAACTAATAGATACAATAAATGTAATAATAAGTATAATTATTTCAAACATCAAGTTTTGTATAAGTTTCTCTAATTTCTCTCCAGGGTATCCCTGTTCCATATCATATTTGCTTTGACTTGTCCCCATCACAAATAATGCTGAGGTTCAGTCCTCAATGTAATGGAGTTGACACCTTTAGAGGTGTTTGTGTTATGATGCAGTAACCCTCAGGAAGAATTCCCAATGATGCTGGGTTGTGAGATTTTGGCTTGAAAAACCTCGATTGATTAGTGAGAAAGCAATTTGTTATAAAGTAAGATTGCCCATTGTGTTTTGTGTCTTTGCTGGTACCCACTGGTTCTTCTGTTGTTGTCTATTTATTTGTTTTTACCATATGGTGATCCAGTACAAGGTTCTCCCAGATTTCCTTGCCTGATATAAGATCTCCAGCCTCCAGAACCACAAATTAACTAATCCTCTGTTCCTTATTATCTGGTTTCAAGTATTCAGTTATAGCAACAGAAAACAAATTGAGATGATATAATTATGTTCTACATGTCTTCTGTTGCTAAAAATAATTAAAAAAAATCTGAATTCATGAAAAGTTAGCTTGGGAAGTTCCAGTGTGAAACAAGCACTCATGAAGATTCCAAAACAGAAGCACTGATGCAATTTCCTCTTATTGTTATGTCATTGTTTTCGGGCTTGTTATGGTTGAGATCTAAAATGCTCATTGCTTTGAAGGCTTAGTTGCTTGTGGACTTTGGGGAAGTGATAGTATCATAGGGGCTCAAACTTCATCAGTGGAACAAACCACTGAGAGATAGATCATCATAGCATTATTGAGAGGTGATGGAATTAGAAGATGGGGCCTAGTTGAAGAGAGTGGGTCATGGAGCTATAATCTTGGGAACTATATAATGTCTCTGGCTCATCCCATTTCTCCTGGCTGCTATGAAGTAACCAGCATTCCTCCACTACCCCCTTTCTGCCATGGTATTCTTCTACCTCACCACAGACCCAGAAAATATGGAGCTGACAACTGTAGCCTAAAACTTCTGAATGACAAAACAAATCTTTCCTCTTGAACAGTGACTTATGTCAGGTATTTCATCACAATTTTGGCTCTTTCTTCATTTGTTTTTTTTTATGGTGAGAAGACATATAAATATCTATCAATTGTGAAATGTATTAAGTTTTACTTGTACTGTACTTAAGTTTATTTGTACTGTAAGGACAAAGAAGAGTGAGAGAATTTAACACATGTGCTAGTCATTCAAACTTTTTTATTCACTTAAGCAAAGCTGTAATTTTTTTTACTGCACTTAAGATTGTTAGAGATATAAAGCATCAAAAATGCTCAAAAATAAGTCACTCATTATTTTTCTCCTTTTTAGTCTAAGGATTAAAAGTCTATATTCAGATTTGGTTTAACTTCCACCGGCCAAAAGCATGCAGATGTTTTAGGAAAAAAAAATGTTTTAAAAATATTTTTGAGGCAAGGTCTTTCTAGTTCAGGTTAGCTCTGAACTCACTATGTAGCCCAGGCTGGCCTCAAACTCATGGCAATCCTCCTGCCTCAGCCTCCCACAGAATTACAGGCATATGCCACCAAGCCCAGCTTTTTAGGCAAATTTTTTATTTTGATTTTTTTTTGCCTAGGGTATTCTCACAGTATCTATCAACCAATCAAGTGATAAGTGCACAGATACTGATTTCATGGGAATTTGGAGTCAAGGATCTGATCTCACTTTCTTCAGAGATTAGGTGTCACTTTATGAACATCCAGTGACAGTGATGTTTTCCATTGTGTATTTCTATCTTTGACCTTAGTTCCCAGTAGAGGTATTTTCTTCTTTTCTCTACGGACAACAGACCCAGCCCTAAGAGATCTTTAATTGGTTCCCTTGCCCTCTGTCATTATTCTAACTTCAAAAATTCAGATTATGTTCTAGAAAACTGATCGCTTTCAAAGAGTAACACAACCTTTACAAAATGCTTCATGGTTTTCCTTTGCTGATGTTTTTCTAGGCCATAAAGACTTGTAATAAAGACAACTAAAACCACATTTCCTTGTTCAAATCCTCCCACAGGATTTTGAACACTGCAGTCAATTTAAATTCTGCAGGGGATCTTTCTCACCTGCCGATAATCAGTCACTTGGACTGTTTGTCAGTACCTGTCATTTCCTCCTCTTCTGCTTCTGGCAGGCATTGTTTTATGGAGTCATTGAATCCTGGTTGCTATGGAGATTTCCCCACCATTCCAAAAGCAAACAAGCTGCCATGTATTTAAAGCAATAAAACATCATCACATTTAACTGGAACAAATAAGTCTGGTATAAAATTTTGGTACAAATTTACCAAGCTGCCTAGTGTCTATCTTTTAGAACTTTAAGCACACTGCTGTGCTGGTATTCTTTTATTTATTTAGGAATGCTTCTAGCATAGTGCCATATCTTTGAAATGTTGGGAGGAATCTGAGAAGTCTAAGGTAATGGTAATGCATAACTTAAGTCAGCTTGCAATTAGAAGTTCCTTTCCTCTTCCAGAGTTGGCTTTGATCCTTTCACCAATTGTATATGCTCAACTTTCTCTTCCATTAGGAAGAAATTCATATTAAGAAAGTACTAATTCTCTACAAAACATAAGCCTATAGTGGAATCACTATGAGAATTCTTTAGGTGGGTATGATTATTTCTGATGTTAAAGATATAAAAATCTTATTGTGTCCCTAGAATCCACAATGCCTTATCGATACTGTACTGCACCTTCTAATGTGTCAATCTTTTTATTGTATGTTTAATTCTCATTGATTTTCTTGGCGATTACATGTATATCTAAAGTGAATATGCACCACACAATTTTTGAAGTTTGTTATTAGACTTGAAGAATTTCTAAGCTCTCATATATAGAAAATAAAAACAAAGCTTTATATAGTTAAAAATTCCTAATATACAATTTACTCATCTTATAGTTGTACAGATGCTGATGTCATTGGGAGCTGTTATGACAGAAACTGGTGCAAGAGCTTCAAAATATCTCCCCACTGCTATAGTAAAAGGACAGCAAAATTGACTTTCACAATACTCCGATTATTTGTATTACATAAAAAAATCACTAAGTCATACGTATTTAAAGCCCCCTTCTATTATAATGAATTATTTCATTATATACTTTTGTTTCACTACACTCTATATTTCCATTAATTAAATAAACTTGAGAAGTTATCTTTTAGGGATTTAAGAGTGACTGAATTATATATGAAGGACAAGAAATCTGGACAAGGGTATTATGCCATGTTTAAAATAAAGTCATCACAATTTTATACAGATAATGGAGAGGTATCATGATTCTTGAACTCCCAATTCTCCTCCAAAGAAATGTGAATTAGAAGTTGTTTAAAAGAACTTTAGAAAATAAGTTACATGAAATTAACATTAATATTAGGGAGGCAAAGAACATTCACATTTGTTATGAATACTGTCTCCTACCAAGGGTAGTATATCTCTAGACTTATGTAAGATTCTTAGGCACAATAGGTATGCTTATAAGCAGAATTTGTTTTATTCATATTCAAAATAAAACAATTCAATTATGGTACAGCATTTACAGCCTCAGGTAAATTTCTTTGTACCCTAAATTTCCAAACCCATAATAACAGAAGAAGGAAAAAGAAAAGAAAGATGGCAATTGTTTCTAAATCCCTAACCAATCATGTCCACTCTCAAGGTTCTGACTTTCCTTTAACAGGAAAAGTTGAATAATTTTATTGCACTAATTTTCACTTTTCTACATGAGTTAGAACACTGTTGAACATTTGATCAAGTTTTGATTATGATATATGAACTCTTAGATAGCAAACATGATTCTGATTCCTGATAAAAAAGTTTTATATGAAAGGAAAAAATCAGTCAACAAGTGAAAACCCAAGGTGTGTCTTCATGTGTCTGATTACTGATATTGTAGAAGCTCTTGTATATTGTTAATATTTTGAATTTTCTTGTTAATATCACTGCTTTTTATAGGAAATCTAAGAGTATTTAAATTCACAATATCAGACTAGTTAGACCTACTAGAAAATGTTTTGCCATTCATTGTTTTGCGTAAGATTTTGTAAACTTGCATTCTTCCTAATTTATCAACTGTTAAAGTTTAAAAAAGAATGAATAAAATTACTTATTAAATATGTTTCCATTACATTGCTCACTTATGGTTTGGTTTTGTTAACATAATTGATAGATAAATTGTTAGATCTTGAATATATTATAAAATCCCTATCATCTGGAAAATCTTTGTATATACAAATGGGCTATAACTGATTTTTAAAGGAACATTAAAAACACTATTCAAATATGATTACCAAAATATCAGGAATACTATCAAGAACCATCACTACTCTTAAAATCTTTTTGTAAGTCAAGGTCATTATTACAAAAGTCAGTATGTTGCTAGATCCAGGAGGTGGCACTCTTGTACTGTTCATTATGTTGTACAAACTGATATTTATTTTCTCTTTTCCCCCCTACCTTTCTCTGTTTCTACACACATACACAAACACATTTAGATAGATATATGCATATTTACAAGTATAAACATACGAAACTGAATACATTTATACAATAAATGCTTGTTCACGTGGCAATTTGAGAGTACAATTTTATATATATTTATCCATGTAATATTTTGACTGGTATATGGAGTTAATGATTTATTTTAGTAATTAATTTAGAACATTTTTTAAATAGATCAAGTAACTTTTGTTGTAAAATTAGGACATGAGTGTCCTATTGAATAATAATATTGTTTCAACAATTACTCAATGCAGTATTAAAGCAAAATAATGTTACATAGAATTGATGTTTAAAAATCCCATCCATGTAATATAATTGTACTTATAGTTTTGTTTGAATTACACAAAATATATCAGGTGAAAGAATTGGAATAGTGTGATTTATCATTTAATTTACTTAAATGTGAAGTTCGTTATACATAATAAAATGCAACTTGTGATCAAGAAAAAAGCAAAGTGGCTATGTCAACTACAACAGTTTTTAATAAACAGAAAACTGATTTCTAGATGAATAAAACTCTAAGATATAATGCCTCCAGGAAATTTGCAACAGTATATGAAAATATTGGTTGAGGAGAAAAAAACCAAATACCAAAAAAAAACCCTACAGACTAATATAAGTAGTTTGAAAAACCAAAGACTATAGGATAAAAAGCAGAAAACACGGAATTCGAAATAAAGTTCAAAAATATAAATGAAATATAAAGTCATCCTGAAAATGTAGAAACTTTGTTGTGACAAAGCAAAATCTATTTTTTCAAATTACACACATTTGATTCATTCATGAGACAATTCTGTTTCCCTTTCTCTCCACATACATGGTGATACAGTATCATGAGGCAGTCAATAGGGCATCAGACGTAACTGTGAAACCAAATGTGATACATGCTCTTGCTTGACACATACGGATGAGGTGACCTTAAGCAACATACTTAATCTGTTGGAGAAAACAGCCTTTTGGGGGAAATAAGGGCAATGTTACTTAAATTAGAGTTGCAACAAATTTGTTCCACTTTTAAATTTAATTCTCTCTCTCTCTCTCTCTCTCTCTCTCTCTCTGAGACAGGGGACAGGGTCTCCCCATATAGCTCAGGCTGGTCTTGAGCACACTATGCAGTCCATTATGGCCTGGAACTCTCTGCAATTCTCCTGTCTCTGTCTCCCTAGTGCTAGGATTACAGGAGTTCACCACCACACTTGGCTAAATTTAGTTCTTTAGAGAGGATTTATCATGCTAGGTAAGGAATTCAGAAGCAATTTTTTTCATTCTTTATTCTATAATGCTTTTTAAACGTGAGTACAATGAGTCTTTTCTAAGTGCCTCATGTTTTATTTTTCCAAGAAAACATGTAAATTCATGCACTTATTGTAAAATTCTATTTTTTGAAACAGTGATTTTTAAAATGTAGGTGTGCTTTTCTTTTTGTGTGAAAATGGTTACAATTGTGCAATTTTACTTCTTGCTAAGTTGCTTTAAAAAATCTGACAAAATTTACAATTGTATTTCTGTGGAAAGTATCTCAAATTAGGTTGACAATGAAGTTTTATGGTCTGATTACCGTCTAGAAATGCTATGGTTCCTTCTGTGTGGGTTTTTAAAATTGAGATTTGAATATATTCACAAACTGCTATCTGTAATTGAGTATAAGTGAAATGTTTCAAGAACTGAATTCTAAATTTTCTTAAACTACTAAGTAGTGTCATTGTTTTAGATGGATTTCCTGCATTAATAATCCAATTAACAGAAGCATCAAACTGCTCAGAATAAACCTGATAAAACAAAAGTGGAAATGATTTAAAACAAAATACCGAAAGAATTGTGAGGGATAGAGACTCACAATGGCAGGACTCCTCCCCCACCTTTCATGTTCTAAAATGGCTTCTATAAGAGAAAAAAATGAAGTTAAACATAGCGTGCTATTCTTTAGCCCTAAAAAATAGCATGGGAGTTTTAAATTACTTTTAAGTAAATTAGATTGTTTTACTTTGAAGTTTAAATGCCAATTGTAATTTTTAGCAACTGTTTCAAATGAAATTGCATGAGAATAATATAAATTTGGTTAATGTTTAATTTTAATTTTGTTACTGTTACAGACTATTTGCAAAAATGAATAATTAAGAAAAAGTAATTTTACTTTTTAATCTTTACAGTGCACTACAAGAAAATCCTTTTCTTATTTATTTTTCTGTATATTATACAAAATTGTACTTTATTTTACATGGTGTCAGTTTAAAATGTTTTTAAGACCTCTAAACTTAGTGTACTTAAATTACTAAAGAGCTATTATAGCAACCTGTATTAAGCTTTGTCATCCATAAAATAAAAGACTACAACATAGTTTTTGTATGGAAAAATATATTAATATTTAATGATATTTTCTTAAATTATTACTTTTTCTTAATGTATCTAAACTAGTTTACAGATATTTTTTGTTTGTTTGTTTGTTTTGGTACCGGGGATCGAACTCGGGACCTTGCGCTTGCGAGGCAGGTGCCAGAAACCCTGAGCTAAATCCCTGGTTCTGCAGATAAGTTTTAATCAAGGTGATACCCAACTATTTTTCTTTAATAAGAAATGAATTCTCCGCATAACTTACTATTAATTTTGGAAGAGTAAAGTAAAATATGTAGCCACAGGGTTTTTGTTTTTGTTTTTTGCTAAACCTAAATATAGGGAAATACTCTCTCTGTCATACTTTTTTTTGAAAGTTCTCTAGCCTTAAAGTTTTGTGCTGTTATCTGTTTGCATCTTTGTTGTAAAAATCTTTTCTTGTACTCTGAGTAACTACTTTGAAGGTAATGAGACAGTGTATTAACTACTGTTATTCTCTTATAATTTTCTTATGAAATTTTGTTTTACTTTTTCATAAAATAAAAAAGTACTCTGTACCTTGGTAAAATGGTGCAACACTTAGTTTAGTATCCTAAAGAAATAGAAAACAAGTTATATTTAAAATAATAATCACAACAATATTCTTTCCTTTGTAAAGACTTGGGAACAGTAAACAAATGTGTACAATATGGTGAAATCAGATGGCAACCTAGTATCACAAAGCAAATGAAAATCAGTTTGGACAATGTATCTAAAAGTGTACCTTGATTTCATTCAGTTGTGTCACATGTTGTATATGCTCTTTGGCCTATTAGTTTTTCAATCAGTATACATGATATTTACCTTTATAAAGTCCTATAAGATAAATGAATCTCATGCTAGAAAAATAAAAGAGGCAGGCTGGAGAAGAAAAAAGGAAATTGAAATGTGCTATGTACATATGCTTGTCCCCTACAGTGAGGTGAATGTAATCATTCACTGGAAACGTGTACTAATAAAAGTAAAAAAGAAAGAGAGAAAGAAAGATCATGAAAAGAAGATAAATTGCAGGAAAAATGCCAATAAACGCAAACCAATCTAGGAATATATATATATATATATATATATATATATATATATGAATGATAGATAGATAGGAAACAGTAATATTTTGAAAGCAGTTTATCAAAGATGTAAAATATGTAAGGTTTCTCAGTAAATGTAGCACACATCCCTTCCCAGTATTTGCAGGCTATAAGTGGCATAAGTTTCTTGCCTGTCCATAATTTGGCTGTATTATATAAGGAGTCCATCCGAAGGAAGCTTTATGTGACTCACATGGACATGTCAGAAAGTAGAATTGAGCAAGTATAGCTCCTCCACTAATGGCTGCTACTGAGACTTAAGTTCTAGTCCATGAACTAGCAGAGCCTTCCTGAGTTAACTTCCAGCCCAGGTCAGCTTGATTGCAACTAAATTCTTTCCCTCTGAATTACACATTTGTTCTCTTCAACAAGATGTGCGAGTGCCTCCCTCTTATAGTCCTGCCTGCAATACTTCCAGGGGTCTGGAAGCATACCCTGCTCCTTCCTTCCCACACTTGTAATGAATAAACACAGGATGTCCTTGGTGCCTTTTGTCTTTGCTGCCCAGAGCAGCTTGGATCAGTCTGAGACCTAGTTTCTTCTCTCAAGTCTGTGTGTCTTTTGTTCCCTCTCTCTCTCTCTCTCTCTCTCTCTCTCTCTCTCTCTCTCGCTTATGTCATACTGTCTTGCAGGACATTGAAGATCCACTACAATGGTCTTTGATAACATTTTCCATAAGTAAAGTGTTCATTAAGAAAAAATAAAGAAATAAACTATAATTCTGAAATAAACTTTGGTTTTATTAAGTTAATCTTTCAGTTGTCATCAGAGTTGTCTTTTCACAAATGTTTATTAAACATTCCCATGTGCTTGGCCCCCTACTAAGAAATTCTGAGTTTGGTGTCTTGCAGAACTAACAGAGGAAGGTGAAGAAAAAAGCAGAGCCTATTCTTAGGAAGAGTTTTTCTTCTGGATACAAAGCGGAAAAGATACATAATCCCATGCACATAATCCATGCACATAAATTTGGAAGATTTCAATAAACTTACAAATGTTACCAAGTTTCAACAATAGGCATTTATTAATTACTTTGAAAGGAAGTCTCATCATCATAACATACAGTGAATGGTGCTGCCAAGCGTCATTCATTGGAAAGGTAGTAGTCTTCAATCCCAGAAGTGGTGTGTGAATCCTTAGTAGCAATTTGTGACAAATTTTGGTTCCTTCACTGTAGTTAGTCAGTTGTGAACTACAGTTGAAAGGTGAATTTTAAAGTTGAGTTAAATCATGGGCTATGAACAGTACATTTGATCTGAGTTGTCTTGTCATGCTGCTTTAGATCCCAACTTTTAAATGTAATCAGAGGAGATTAGCTTGACTTTATGGTTATAATCTTGAGACCAAAGTTCAGAGATCTGAATGTAAATCACCTCGGTCTTCTCTTTAGAAAAAGGTGCATCAATGAAGATACAGCATCAAGGGGATGTTGGTTTTATTTTTTGAAGTTGATGGAATCATGCAAGCTGAGTTTTACCAAGGAACAGAAGGTGAATTTTGAATATTATAGGTCTTCTTAGAGCATTTAAGAAAGGATATATATAGAATATTCCCTTAAAACGGGCAAACGCTTTTATCTTCCATCATGACAACATACTGTGTCATACATCTCATATCTCTTCTGGTATGGAAATTTCAATCAAATAAAAACATTGTAGTATGTCCTCATTCACCATATTCAATAGATCTGGTACTATGCTATTTTGAGCTCTCCTCTAAAGACAAAATGATTATGAAAACCAAATGTTTTGAATTGATTCAAACACTGAGACTGTCACAGCAGCACAACTAAAGACACTCATGAAGAGGACCTCCACAAGTACTTCAGAAATTGGCACAAATGATAGGAGAAATGAGGAGTACCTTGAGGTGATTAATGGCAATGTGTCTTTTATTATAATAATGCTTTTCTTTAAATTTGAACATTTGCTATAGTTTTCAACACATCTCATAAATAGAAGAAACAATATGCATAGGGAAAGCATTGTTAAACACAAACACACTTACACACACACAAGTACTGATATGCCTGAAAATACAAATTTCATCAGTTTTCAGATTTTAGACAAGGAAAAGATATAATCTTCCTACATTAACTGGAGCATAAAGCATCCGTGATATGTACAAATAATTCCAACTGCAAAATTGCTTTAATGATATCAGTGTAATGTTAATAACAAAAGTCAAATTAAGTTATCTTGAAATTAGTGTCCTTCTTAATTGCTTTTTATTTGAATCTTTCTTGATAACTTTCTCTTTTGTCTGAATCTAGTGACATATTATTGAATATGTTCCCATTTTCTTCTCCATTAAAATCTGTGTTCTATCAGCATCCAGAAATATTTTGATTTTTGTTAGAATGAATACAAATAATTTTGTACCACCTCTTTCATTGTTTTCCTTATTAAACAATAAAATATATACAAAATTCAGATGATTAATACAAACATAATAATGGAGATCTGCATATGTTCAATACATACCTAGTTTAGAAGTATGAAATGTTCATGCCTCAAATTGACAAAAAATCACTTTTAACTTTTATGTGTTTCATAATACACTAGTGAAAACTACACTTAGTATATAGTGACTGCTATTATTTATTTCATGCTTATGATTATTAGTTGACATGAAAACATCATAGCAATAAACTTTCTTTTAGTAGTTATTATGTTTCACTAAATGTGTATTTTTTTTATTTAATTCTCCTTCCTCTTACTCTTTCCATATTTATTTATTTATTTATTCATGTATTTAAGAAGTATTTTTTGTGCATCCACATGTGGCACATGGAATATAGCTTTGAACAAAGTATAAAAAAATTACCAGCCTCGAGACGGTTACATATTATTAGGCCAAGAGAAATAAGAAAAATGAACATATTACATGATATTTAGAACTCAATGAGGAATATAAGGTTGGGAGAGAATAAAAATGGGAAAATAGATACAGAAGGAGAGATAATCAAGAAAGTTATCTGGAAAAAAGGACCATTTCTACAGATATAGGAAGTGTTATGCCTTGTGTTTAGATGTGCACCCCCACCCCGCCCAAGGCCTCATGCAGTCATAGGTGGGGATCTAGAGCGTGTGATTCAGAGGTGGCTGGATCTAGACTGTGTAATGCTGGAATTGATTCATGGTACAATGGTAGGCTCAGGGGCATTAGGATTAAAGGTATGAGTGCTACCCACCCTAAGTAGTCTGGATAAGATAAAACAGGCAGGGCAACACTGTTAAAGTTCCTTGCTACTTTTGCTACCTTGTATGATCAATGAACTGTTTCTCCTCTGTCACATACCACTCTGTCTTGTAGCCAGCCAACTATGGTCTGAAACCTCCCAAACTGTGGGTTAAATAAACCTTTTCTCCTTTAACTTTGAGTGTCTGGTATTTTGTCTCAACAAGGAGAGAAAAGTAACTAAGACAGGAAGCAAAAGGAAAGGACCTTGTGGATATTCAGAGAAGCACTTTTCTGGGAGAGAGAACAGGGATAGAAAAGGGAACAGTTTTTTTCCACAAGAAGAACCTCAAGGTAATGAATCTGTTCAAAGTAAAATATATAAAAAACTTGTTTTATTTATATGAAATATAAAATAAAGAAAGTTATCTAGGCTAAGGTAGATTGAATAAGTTTTTGCTAAAATTAACTGAGAGACTAACACAAATTAAAATGAAATTATAGTATGCTAATATTTCATAAATTTAGCAAATATTTTCCAGAAACCTTTGTTTGCTAGTAATTCTGCTGTGGCTCCAAGCTACCAAGTCAAAGAAGTTTCAGAGCTCTCTGAAAAGTTATTCCTGTACAACACATAAATGTATTCTTGCAGAAGAG